ATTCCGGAGGAAGCATTAGACGCGCATGCAAACAGTGTTATGCAAATAAAAGTTGTCAAATGGGCAGATCAAGAACACGAGATAATGTAAATAAAACAACAACTTATTGTCCAAGTTGTCCCAACCAACCCCAGCTTTGTATAGAATGTTTCAAAGCTTGGCATTCTCCATAATTTTCTTAATAAACCATTTTAATTAAATTCATATGAATAAATATAGTTTATATTAAATAATATTCAATAGATTTGTTACTTATTCTGCGAAATATCTTTCCAAACACATACGAATGATCTGCGCAAGTAGTCAAATAAGCGTCACCCCAATACGGGTGACGCGGCCCGATCCGAAACTTGACTGTCACCCGAATACGGGTGACGCGGCAGTCAACGTGTTAAATCATGACTTAAATACTTTAGAAAATTACAATATTATAATCGGCTGTAAATTGTGCAACACTGAACACAATTAACTAAAACAAACGAATAATTCTGACTACTTTCGGAAAAAATTAAAAACACGCGTCGAAAATTAACAGAAGAGAATTAGGAAATTATATATTTATGTAAAATTACCATTTACCCGTTTCTACCACCAGTTACATACACCATGTATATTACTATATTATACAATTTCGTTTAGTATTCATTCAATGCTGATAATTCTAGTGTTAAACTATTAATATTTTTCAAATATTTTTATTATTAAATTATTATTTGTGTGGAATAATGATCGGTTCATGAGTTATACTTTAAAAATTTAGTGGACTGTATTTTGATTTGCGTTGACATGGAACGAGCCAGGATGGAATGGATGTCTGGTGACAGCTGCGTGGCAAGTAAATGTATACATTTTGACTTTGTGATTTCTTTTTTTGAGTCAGTGTATAATAAAAACAATGAAGTGAGCAAACCTGCAAGGTGCGAACAGTGCGATCAGGCCATGTGAGTCTGAATGATAAGAGCTAATGTATGTAGACAGCTTTTTGTTATAAAGTACATGGTCACACAATGAATGTTTCTTATTTGTAAGAGAGTTTAAAGAAATTGAGTAGTGTGTGATTACCGTGAGTGGATGTAGACTGATTATAATGATAGTTGCAACGAGGTGGTCCTAAAGCACCTCGTGGCCTCCGATGATTCGCTCAGGAAAAAATCGACGTCTCGTTGGATGAGTTGATCTGGTACTATTGTCGGTGATTCGAACTGTGTTGACGGAATGATTCGCACAGGTGTGATCGGTTCCTTCCGTCTCACATAATGCTGAGTCGTTCGCGTTGAGTACTCGGTCAAGAAGGTAAAAGACAAATGACAAGATGTCTTTCCGCTCGCAGGTTAGGAAGACGGATGTGACGTATTGTCACGTGACACTGGTGATAAGTGCAAGTGGTGCTTCGCTAAGCGACGCGCACACCACGCGTCGCTATTGGTGCCAACCAGGGAATGGCTCGTGCTATAATGACATTGCTTCACGTGATGTGTGGCAAGTGGCACTGTCCAGTTGAGGCACAAAAAACTGGGTTATCATGCCCTGATC